ATGCCCACACCTTGAATAGTGCGTGCAGATGTGGTCACCCCATCTGATAAAGGATATACTAGAATTGGAAAAAATATAGAGAAGGACAATAAAAATGATTAGGGGTATGGAACAGCTTCCTTATGAGGCAAGATTAAAAAGACTGGGACTGTTCAGTTTAGAAAAGAGACCACTAAGGGTGGATATGATAGAGGTCTATAAAATCATTAATGGTGTGGAGAAAGTGAATAAGGAAGTGTTATTTACCCCTTCACATATTTACCCTCCTACACAGGAACAAGGGGTCACCCAATTAAATTAATAGGCAGCAGGTTTAAAACAAACATAAGAAAGTATTTATTCACACAACGCAGTCAACCTGAGAACTTGTTGCCAGGAGATTTTGTAAAGGCCAAAAGTATAATTATGTTCAAAAAAGAAATAGGTAAGTTCATGGAGGATAGTTCCATCGATGGCAATTAGCCAAGATGGTCAGGGACACCCCACCAGCAGTCCCTAAACCTCTGATTGCCAGAAACTGGGAGTGGACGACAGACGATGGAAAACTAGATAACTGCCCTGTTCTATTCAATCCTTCTGGTCACTGTCAGAAGACAGGATACTGGGCTAGATGGACCATTAGTCTGACCCAGCATGGCCATTCTTATGTAACTGTGTATTTTAGTTACGCTAAAATAATCTATAAGAACTACTTCCCATGGTTCCTGGGTGTAAAAACCATACATTATTCTCCTTACTCTATAAAAAGTAGAAAATTAAAACCATTGGTATAAATTTTCATTAGAACATTGTGCCAGCAATATTAACTCACCAATCAACAACAGCAAGTACATTCAAATGTACATCTGATATTCTACTCTCAAGTGTGTTCTGTCACATCTAAGTATTGTATTCCATATTATAGTTTTACAAGGCGATTGATGTGCACTGGGTTTACCGAAATTATGGTTGTACATGCCTCTTGTTAGTTCAATTGTTTTAAATTTTAATATTTCTTTTTTGGCAGAATAAATTCAAGAAAGAGAAGGAGTAGGCAGCACTGTAGGAAAGTGAAGTGTTATAGTGTGTTAAGCATACAACATCTCACAGGTATGAGAACTGCAACACAACTGAAAAATGGAGCAAGTTAAATATAGAGCATCAGCTTTTAATTTTGAACTCTTCCTAGTGTCACAAACCAATTTATTTAAAGGTGAACTATAAAGCTAATGTTTAAAAGGTGTTTAAGATGTCAAATCATTAACAGAATGTGTGCAGATTTAAAATTTAAATATTTACATTTTAAAAAGTCCATTTACCCTGTGACACTCGATCACATCACAAGCACAAGCAGGTTGTGATGTCACCAGCTCATGCAGGGGAGCTAGATACATGGTGTCACAGCCTGATCCAGTACCCTTCTGTAGGAACACCAGTCTGTTGTGAGTAGT